TTATTGATGTTGTTGCGTGCGTTATTTGACTAAACTTGCGTACACGTATATTCCAATACTTCTTCACTTTTATTAATGTGCGCAGACGTTGTGGCTACTCGACGCCCACAATGTAAAACCAAAAGGCTTTTGCGAAGAGTACGATCGTGTATTATAGCAGTAGTCAAATTTCGAAATTGTGTCAAGGTAATATTCAACAGTAAACTGACAAATGTTTGCGAAGTACATATAAAATCGGTCTGTGTACACATATAATACAAGTATACAAATTAGATTAAAAAGCATGTTTACAGTTGGTATAGGGGTACTACAATGTGCCCAATTTGAAGACAGCTGATGCATTTATATACACAGTTTTTTGCTTTTGAATAATTAGGTTCATCATATTTCGTCTACATTCTGGTGAACATATGCTAATTTTCACGGATTCACTTTTATTCTTAAGATGATTATTCACTTGAAATATAAAGTGTTGACGCACATTACATGTACTATGTCTTACCATTCTTAAACTATTTTGAAACAGACTCATTTTAATCATGAAATATATTTTCAATGATTATGAATGTAATGGACGCATTTCGGAGTTTAATTTCTGTAAAAATTGATTTTGATAGCTAATAATTTTGTTTCTACGCAACATAGTATCATGATTTATCAATAAGTGTTTAGAAGCTTTACATATCATATGTTTAAATTAAGTGAATAAGATTCACGTGTTGTTTTTCGTGTATACTAGTCCTCCCTCTGCCTAAAATCTCAGTCACTGGTGGATCCAAAGAACTCTGATAAACAGCACTTTTGGTGACTCCAACTAGGTACTCATTTAAGAGGCATGCTTCCACACCGTATCTGGATTAACTGGCACTACAGTAACATTCGATGCATTTATAATGTCTCGTGAACACAGAGTTTTGTGATCACTCAGAGGTAGTTAGTAATCAAGGATTTCTGAAGTTTCAGATGAGTGAACAAATGTGAACCGTATCTTGTTTGTGAGGCTCTATTTATCTACTGAAGTATATAGAGTGATAAATGCCCTTCTGGATTTCTTTTTGTGCGTATACTTCCTTGTCCTTCAGTGCGCTTTCGAAATACGCGCTCAAAGTGCAGGCGTTATCGGTCGGTAATCTGGGTATTTATGTTCATACAAGAGTATAGCGCATCAAATGTGATTCCGATTATAATACTATAGTACATTCACCTTACACGATGTGCTAATGCTGTACAAGGCCAAATACGAACAATTTTGTATTGAAAAGCACAACTGAAAACTCAAAGAGATATACTATTAGAGAAATGAAATTTCGAAGAGCGCGAGGTGAACGTGCGTGACACCGCGCAATATACATATATACCAACAACTTCTAACTTATTTGATTCCCGTGTACCAAAGGCAAAGCAAAACACCACAACTGATTGTCCAAATTACAAGATATATTTCGGAACCAAATCGCGGATTGAAGCGGAAGCTAAGCTGGCGAGTTATCGTGCACGAAAGTGACACGACGGAGTACCAAATGGTGGGGATGCTTGACGGGGAACCTTCAGCTAAACAAGTCAACTTAAACTTATGTTATTAATAACAAAGCAAGTCATAGGTTTTACGCTTAACATTGTCTCTGTCACTTAGAACACGGGCCAAATATGGTATCGTTGAGTTCCTATACTTGGTCGTGCGAGCATATATTATTTTGTACTGATTTCTGGTTCTACCTGATGAGATGCAAGGAGAGAGTTGGGAATAGAGGGGGTGTTGGGGGTCAGACAGTATGGTTTTAGACCATTTCTCGCATGTATTAAGTTGCTTATCCACTAATGTTGTGACGAGCTGACTGAGTTTTACACCGCTAGTCCTACTAACTACTACTAGTCCTACTACTAACTAACGATGAAATCATTCAACGATCCCATCTGTAATAGGGTGATACGAGTTAATTCTCAATAACTCGGTGAGCTGTTGAAAAAGATGGCTTTCGAAATGTGCACCTCTGTCTGTAGTGAGAATGGATGACAGACCAAAGCTCACTATCTAGCCCTCGAGAAGAGCTCTAGCACTTGATTCGAGGGACAGGTCTGCTAGTAGAACCATTACGAACCGACTGGTGTATCTATCAATGCACGTGGAAATGTAGCTGAAACAACTGGGAGGAGGCAGTAGACCAACAGTATCTATATGTCTGAGGTGAAATCTTGAATATTGGTCGAGAAAACGACCAAACGATGCATTGGTGTGACTATGAATCTTGGCCCATTCACAAGAGGCACAATTTTGCGTCCACTTCTTAGTATCAGTGCTTATGTTTGGCCGTATAAATATGTCGTTCGGCAGCCCAGTAGCAACACTGACTACGGGATGCGACAGTCTACGCAATTCCTTAAACATTGTGCGTCTCATAACTTCTGGAAAAAGTCTACACGTGCAGGCAGAGGAATCACAGAATACTTTCATTTCATAATTGTTATTCCTTACGTTCCAAATATCTGATGTCAGTTGATTTGAATATTTAAGATGTCTTAGTTCACAATGCGAGTAGTTATCTTGTTTGGCTGACAAGGCTGTCGTTAGTGTTTTATGATCTTTAATGACATTAAAAGCTGCGCATTCTAGCATATGTCTAAAATATTGGATGAATAAATAAACACCTAGCGACACTCTATCAAAGCTGCTATAGCGACAGTGGATATGATTACAGTCGTTTTAAAAAGAATGCGAGGTGTCGCTATCCACCGTGTACTTGATGTAAAACTGCCCCCGCCGAAACTTCAGAGGAATCAATCAGGAGGGAGAGAGAAGAGTCGTCCCCGCGCCTGACTGGGAGAACCTACTCGTTTAATACGTATTTAACAGTTTTGAATCAATCAATGGCTTTGGCAGGCAAGTAAAGAGAATGGCTGCGTCCTCGCGAACAGTCAGTTAACAGTTGCGAGACTATGGCACAGCTAGAAACGAAATGACGGCAGAAACTAATGAGGCCGGAAAATTGCCGTGATTTCTTAAGAGTCAGGTTTCGGATAATCATTAATGGCAGGTATATAATCAGGGATTGACCCTGTTCTTTGGCTGCCGAACAAATGCCTGAGGAACTCAACGAGGTCCTACCGAGATCACATTTGTGTAAGTTGATTGTCATCCCATACTGGTGAAGCCTTTCGAGTGCTATCTTCTCATATTTTAAATGTCCTGCTGCGTCTGCACTTGAGTAAATAATTATTGTGTTCATATGCGAAGGGGGACCGCGGAGTACTTGTTTGATTTAACGTTGGAACGCCTGGGCAGCGTTCATTAGTCCTAAAGGCATGCTGATGACTTCGTATAAGCCAAGCGTTGCGGTAATGACAGTTTTAGAAAAGTCGTCTGGACGGATAGGAATGTAATGATAACCTCTTGTAAGATCTATCTCGAAGAAAACCTTAACATCCAGCAGACTCTGGGGAGAATCGTGTATGTGAGGCAGTTGGTATATATCGGGTACTATTTGTTTGCCTGAAACTCAGTAGACACCACGCAGCAACATTTCGCCAGAATACTTTTTAGGGATCATGTGAAATGGTGAAGACCAAGAACTATTAGTTTCTTATATGAACCTAATCTCTAGCATTTTATCAAATTCCGACTTTGTGACGCCCAATAGGTGTAGATCAAGGCATCAAGAGCGTGAGGAATTTGGTTGTACAGTAGTTTTCATATAATGAATCGCATTACGTTTCAAACCGTTTTCTCGGTGAGAAGGCTTAAGTTATTCGCTAGTCCATTTTATGGAGATGCCAGCCCAAAAATAATGCCCGACTGATTGCACCTGCAATGTGCGTATCGTTGTTTTAGTCGACCAATTTGAGGTTTTTCGGATCTCACAGTCATTTATGGTGCTGTAAGACATCAATATCGAATATTGAAGATTGAACGTTTGGAATGGTAAATGACCAATTGTAGGTATTCCACAGATCGAAGTTAAAGGTTTGCGTCAATACCTAATAATACTAGATTTGTTAACAGCTATGAGCGTGAATCGATACTACTTAGAAAGGGGTCTTATGTCTGCCTATCGCGGTCAGGTGAATTGTAGTACCTTTTCTCTTAATTTATCGTAGGGATTTCGCGTACGTGCTCGGCAATTTAGTCCGGTAGTACAGTACTCAGAATACCGAGTTTAGCGTCCTACAAAGGACAGCTTATTGTCGGTGGTATGATGTCCCGGCCAAGCAAAGATGTAAGAGTCAGTCAATGTACCAACACAAGTATTGAAGTTCTTGTGCACAGAAGTCAGGTCAAACTAGAAGAATCCACAGTCAGATTAAATGTAATCTCACGAATAACATAAGTATTTTTTCAGTGTATGCCCAGGTGAAAAAATTAGTTGTAGTCCCCGGAATTATAAAATGCCTATCAATGTCCAAGTCTTGGTAAACTGTCCTTGGAAGACTTTCAGGAACTATGCCTAATAACTTACACGAAAAACCAGAACGCAAATTGGTGACTCAAGAACCGTTTATTCTTGCACCAATATAGAACCAACCATTGAGTTATTGTACACAAAGTCTAAGAATAAATGTCATAACAATAAATCACAATAATACTTCTGACAGTTCTCTCTCTTCCAACGAACAGCGAACGACGAGACGATGACTGATGGATTGACGACACCCGCGAAAACTATAGAGTTGGGTTTGGGCAAACAACCATGAATTGATCGTTCAATCTTCAACTACATTGACAGTGCCTTTTCATTAATGCCACCTAATGTATTACCCTCATACCAACTGACATTGACATACTCAGTCAAGTGTTGGAAAACTGTTAAGTCACGAATAATTTTCTGACATGATAAGAAAGAATCCCATCAGTTAAGCTATGGAAATGATATGCATAAACACAAATGCTTACTAAAAATCATCTGTATTATTCATATAGGCCTAAATTATCGCTATCAAGAGTGATTTCAATAAAACACAGAAACTGCAGCAACTGTGCTGCTGAATCCAATGTTTCAATGAGCAAAATTCAAGGCTCTTGGTTCGACCTCGCCGCTTATTTCGTGCCGTTTCTGTGACATGTCGTCGTTCGAGTGAGTTTCCGTCTTTCGAGGTACCGTTCATTTTAAATTAATAGTAACAGTAACTTTGGGAACAAAATAAGTTGAATTATACATGAATCAAATGTTACTGTGGCGCCAGTTAATCAGGAGACAGTGTGGATTATGCTTCTTAATTATGTGCAGTTGGAATCACTAACTGCATTGGAAGGCACTTAGACTAATTATCATCCGGAAATAATGCTTACAAATTCTGAAGTATTACTTCTAGGTGACTCCAAACTGTAACATCTCTAAACGAATCTGCATGTAGCAACCAATCAGATGCGTAATTAAGAATAAACGTCTTTTAAAAATTAACGAGATGTTAAAAGATGGCTAAATTGGATAATATTCTTGCATGTGTTCCAAGAAAAAGTCCCAATTTCTCACGGCAGTCCGCATAATCAGGTTAGGCCTATTTCTTCAAATATATTCGTCAAGATCGTCGATCTGTTCATTAGGTATTTTTGTTTTGAACTGATGTAGTTTAGAGTCACCCGCTTTTGAAATGATTGCACTGAAGATACTGATGTAGCAGGGCTTTCTGCACAAAAAGGCACTGTGCTTTTTTCAGTATTCATCGCATTTACCCTAGGGCGTCACATGACTCTTTTCATCGCCACTCATTATTCCACATACAATACCTTATATATTTCCTTTAGTTGTGTTCTACTCAATGTAGAATACTTAAATGTCTACATCGTCTAACTTAGACTGTAACGTCCGCTGGGTTATTGATATCCAGAACCCTCCATGTTCATATCTTCGTTTGGAAATGTAAGGAACCGGACCTGTTCCAATCATACCGTATGGTTGATTGTTCGTTCCCCTTCGATACTATCCGGTTAATGTTGCTAACCATAAATAACTTCTCGCTGAATAAGTCTATATTATCGACTAAGAGCATTGTGTTTTTAACTACTGATTGTTCGTATCTTACACGGAGACCAGCTATTAAATATGCAAGACGATCTTGGGCGAAAACCCCTGCATAACTTCCAATGTACTTCGGAGTGTGTGGATTTCAGGAGTTTTCCAAAGTTTCTTCAGTTCACCCAAAAGTCCCTTTTAGTCAATACCTATACAGTTTAACTGTTGTATGTTTCAAAAGTCATAACTAATGCCACAGAATGGTTTTTTTAACTGGAATAACCAACTTGTGTACTAAGTGATTTGGTGAATGGTAACTAACAACAAAATACAGGATGTGCGTTTCATCCCTTTTGAACTCGTCAATCTGAATGTACCCGTATGAAATAATTTATGTATGGTGTATTGGAAACTAAACGGTCATGCTTGCTCTGTGCACGCTTAGACTTGGCCACTTAGTTTCCTAAATACATGATAACGTGTATGTGATGATACACGAGGTTCCTGGCTTACCACATCTAGTCTTAGCCATATTTAGCTCTGACTTATCTCGGCTCCTGCATAACCAACGCTGGATCCTGGCCTCCAAAGCCTCAGTATGGTCGGGGGTGGGTGCCTTGCGCTGCGGATTGGCCACCCCTCCTTACACCTCTTGAAATGCTCCCATATGGCCGGGCGTCTCACATAGTCTCTCCTGAGGAAGTCCTACTCACTGCCTTCACGTGGCGGAGGTGTTTTCACCGAAGTGAGAGGGCAAAAGCGGATGCCCGGCGCTCTTCACCGGGTTGACTGTCCATTGGATGACAGTCTAGGGGAGATGGCTAAACCCTGATTCCAAACCTCAACGACTGGCGTATGAAGCTCACCGGAGCTCACCGGCAGACGTATGGACAAAGGGCTTGTTGGATGTCCTGGATGTCTGGCCCCATTCAAAAAGGCGTATGAACCGAACTCCGGTCACCGGCTGCCAATGGATAGTGGACTCCTACTCCACTCCTACTGCCTTGTAGGTCACACTTGGTTGTGTAAAGGCTAGAGCTGCACTCTCAAACAAAAGGCCGAGCGATGCTGGGGACATCACTCGTACCAAATTCCCATGAAACTTCATGAACTCTCTTACAAACAACTCTCACCATGCTACGGCGTTCCCGGTAAGCGACGCGCCCTGTGCTCACCCGGTGGCCAGTGTGAAAAGTAAGCCAGCTGGGAAATTAACACTTAGAAACCAACTATTTGTTGGCTGCTGGAATGTTAGGACGCTGTTGGATCCTGGTAGCCAGTCTATCACCATGCGTTCTTTATACAACTACAAGGTGGACATAGCGTGTCTATCTGAAGTGAGGTTACCCGATCATGGCTCCCGCCGAATAGCCGTACCTGGAACAGATTCTTCATTCTGGTTGCTTCATAGTGGACCCCAGAATAATTCGGGACAACATGGGGTAGCATTTGCTCTCAGTAACAAAGCCAATAATGCCCTAATATCATTCGAACCGGTCAACTCCAGAGTTGCAATCGCTAGGTTCAAGGGTTCCCCGCTCGACATTTCTGTTCTCGCTGTCTATGCCCCAACCCTCGACTCTGATGAAAGTATCAAAGACGAATTTTATGACAATCTTCAAGAGGCAATCAACAAAATCCCAAAGCGTGACGTTCTCATAGTAGCCGGCGATTGGAACGCCCGCACTGGCCCTTCAGACGACGCGACAAAACATACTAGGCAAACACGGTCTCGATCAGCGCTGCCGTAATGGTGATAGACTTTTAGCTTTTTCTGATTACAATCGATTATATATCACCAACACTCGATTTCAACACCCTAGAAAACATCTCACCTGGTATTCGAACGACGGTCGCACTGCACATCAGATCGACTACATCCTAGTGCGCTCACGCTGGAGGACTGTCGATCCTATCGTGGAGCAGAGGCCGGAAATAAAGGGGGATCAGACCATACTCTAGTTCGGGCGAAATTCAAACTTCGTTTAACAACACGCCAGAAGGCGCGACCTCCGAAGCGTATCAATGTTGTCCCGCTTCAATGTTCGACAAAGCGACAAGCCTTGTCCAAACAAATCCAGGCCGAACTAAGCGCCGCAGATGAACCAACATCCACATCTTCTAATACACCTGAGACACGATGGAATCATTTCAAAGAAGTAGTCTCTAAAGCTTCAATGTCGCATTTGGGTACCACATCCAACAAGCAGAAAGACTGGATTTCAGAGCACACCATGCATCTATCCTCGCAAGCCAGAGACGCTCGCCTAGCAAAGTCTCCAGTTTATCGCTCCCTCAGGCGCAAAGCTACACAGTCTGCTAGGAATGACAGAAATCGCTATTGGTCTAATGTGGCGACTAACATGGAAGCAGCATCAAATGTAGGCGATTTCGGAAAACTTTATCGCCTCATACGCCTATCATCTGGCAAACGCCTTAACAGTCATGCTGTGTTACGCACAGCATCAGGAGAAATTATTTCGGACACCAATGGTAAGATGGAACGATGGGCCGAACATTTCAAGCAGCTACTCAATCGCAACGCTGGTCAACCGTCTCATCGACCGATACGACACTTACCAACACCCTACGTAGTTGACTGCGATCCACCCACTCCAACCGAAATAGCTAAAACAATTAACAGACTCAGAAACAAAAAAGCTCCGGGCGAAGATGGTCTACCTCCAGAAATATACAAGGCCTGCACTCCAGCGCTAATCGATCGCTGCACTCGCTGTTCTGCTCAATTTGGGAGTCCGAAACCATTCCTTCCGATTGGAGCACCTCAGTTCTGCTACCGTTCCACAAAAAGGGAGACAGGTCACTATGCGAGAACTACCGAGGCATAAGTCTGATTGATATCGCTGCTAAGGTTTTTGTTTCCATTCTCCTGAACCGCTTCGCGGCCGAACGCCACGTGCGAACAAGGCCAAATCAAGCCGGATTTCGACCTGGAAGAGGCTGTGTTGATCAATTATTCACACTGCGAAGAATTTTGGAACACAGGGACAAATTCCAACAGCCGACGGTTGCTTGCTTCATCGACTTCCGAGCGGCATTCGACTCAGTTGATCGAGGAGCACTCTGGTATCTAATGGAGCTCGACGGAGTTCCGACCAAGCTAATCAACCTGCTCAGGTCATACTACTCCAACACCAAAGCTCGAGTCCGAGTGAACGGTGAAGAGTCTCGCACTTTTGAGGTAACCAGCGGTGTCCGGCAAGGTTGTCCAGCATCCCCCATCCTGTTCAATTTCACAGTTGATTGGATTTTGCGGCACGCCCTAACCGAGCACCACGGCGTCCAACTTTCGCCCGATATTCACATAACCGACCTCGAATTCGCCGACGACGTCGTGTTATTAGCTGAAAACTTCCCCGATATGCAACAGGCGCTCGATCAGATAAACCACCTCGCGCCTACTATCGGTTTGAAAATTAACACTTCCAAAACCAAAATGTTTTCGAACACATCCACCAGCAATGATGAAATCTTATCCCTGAATGGAGCACCTATTGAAATTGTGCCATCCTTCAGATATCTGGGATCCATAATGCTCCCCAACGGTCAAGCGAAAAACGAAGTGAATGCGCGAATCTCCAACGCCCGGAATGCGTTTCTACAGCTGAGGAGCGTTCTATGGAGCAAGAGGGAAATCAGTCTCAGGACTAAAATTCGGGTCTACCAAGCTCCATACGACCCGTTCTCCTGTATGGCTGTGAAACCTGGCCTCTTCGCGCGGAAGATTTACGCAGACTCGAGGTAGTAGACCATTGGTGCCTCAGGTACATTCTGCATGTTCGTTGGCAGGACAAACTCTCCAACGAAGAAGTGCGTCGCCGTTGCTACAACATCAACCAAATTCCAGTACTGGTCCAACAACGTCGCCTTCGGTGGTTTGGCCATGTTCTGCGCCGACCAGATGACGATCTGGTCAAATCAGTTCTAAATCCCTCGCCATTTCCATCTTGGCGATGTCGCAGGGGTGGACAGCTGAAACATGGCTTGGTACAGTCAAGGCTGATATGGAGTGCCTGGGGCTACAAACCGTCTACGGACTCCGTCTGTGGAACAAGAATTGGATAACCCTGTCTCAAAACCTTGCATCAGATCGGTGCGCCTGGGCAGCAATGATTCGAAATGTCCATGAAGCCGGCTCATCCTCCTGTAGGAGATAGCCGAAGTAAAGTAAGTAAGGATCCTGGTCATTCTCTTATCAACTGTAGTGTCGGTAAAAGTCGCAATAAAAAACCATGACATAAGCATGAAGTTAGACAGCATTTCGAAGTAGCTTTGATTAGTGGAAGCCTGTGGAAACAGTAAGACCCCGGAGCCGGCTAAGCATACATAGAGTTTCCAAGTTCCGAGTCCATTATCTGTTCTGTGATTTACTGAGGAAACTGTATACTGGTTTCACCGACTCCGATTTTGAGTTTTCTGTTACTTTCAGAATTTCCGTAGTATCAGTAGTTGTGACACTGCAATGTACGCTGATGACTGTTTGCATTTTATTTGACTTGTCATTTATGCACTTACGTAATTTTCCTCGCTTTTGTAAATGCAGTCCACCAACTGTATCCTGCGTGCCTAGCTTCGGATTTAACCACTCTATGGCTATGCTATCAACAAGACGTAGCAATCTGGGTTACTTTTGCCTTTTGATTATTTTGAACTCCTTGACACTGCATACAATATTATCCGTGTCCAATACAAGGCGTGCAACCCCACTGTTCAGTGCCCATGAACTTTTCATTCTTATATTCTTTCGGCTATGTTGAGAAACTCGAACATGAACTCTTCTCTTTGTTTTTCCAATATACGTGACTTCTCAATCACATGTAAATTGGTCAGTATAGTTAGAGACAACATGTGATACGATTATGTCCACTTTTTATTGTCCTCAAATACAATTCGTTCGACGCAAACATACCAGCTTGGCAAATACATATGTGCTCTTGAGCGAAGCGTTTAAGTTGTAGCTTGTATAGCCAGAAATATGATCTCTTGAAGGCGAGCTGTAGACAGATAGTCTTTTTCTCTTCTGTTCTACAATTCACTTCATTTTAGTTTTTTCCTGTCTGTAGGTGGACTTCTGGTGTTAACGGATATCCCACAGGCATTTTGCTTGGAAAGATTAGTCTTCCGGATTTTCCTTAAGAAAACCGTATTGACATGGGTTAAACAGTGTTCTAACCAATTCTGTTTTGAAGCTTATCAGACAAAAGGTTTTTAAGCTCAGATTTGTTTGGGTTGTAAACAGTTGAAAAGAATCTACGAGGTAATTAAAATGAGCTCATACTATCCTGCTGTATTCGTCTTTCTTACTCTGTCTAAAATTGTAAATAGACACAGTGGGCTTGAATCTGTTTATACTGTGAGAGCAAATGTGACTAGGCCACTACAAGTTCTAGTTGTGTGATTATTTCTGAAGATGCAATCCTAAAGGTATTCAATCATTCGTAATTTTTGTTTTAACTTTTAATGATTTGAAAGTTTTATTCAGCTTGCAATCCTCGTTATCAAATGTTATACACACATGTGAACGGTAGACTCAGGATTAGCCAGATTGGTAAAAGTGCTTTGAAATTTTACAAGTTCCCTGGAATTGGAACCAACTTCAAAGTGATTTCTTCAGATAATAAATTTACTTCTGAACTTTGTAACCTGTTGCATGTAGACTGCATGACTGTCACATAAATATCATTGGGAATTTTTTTGACTGGACACTAGTCAATAACTGGTGTAATGTGTATGTCAAGTCCTGTCTTTGGTGCAGACTGAATTTTATCAGTCAAGCTTGCAATTTGGTCACCGTTCTAGGTGTTTCGCCTTCACGGTGCACTGTGAATTGTTGTTATTAGATGGTCGGAGGCAATCGGAAACAAGTAGTCTTGGACCTAGGTTTCGTACTAGTTGGCACTCACCAGTTAGCAAGGTGTATTTGCAACCTCAAACAAACTCATGTCCCTCTGAGATTCAAACCCATATTGCAAATATGACAGACAGTCTGCACCAAAGATAGAGCTAGACACATTACACTAGCTACTGACTAGTGTCCAATCAAAAAATATCCAATACAGTCCTACACGAGGTCAATCGCAAGCCTAACTAGCTCAGTGGTAGCGTCTCTGACGGCAGCACTGGGTGACACGAGTTCGAATATCAGAAGGGACATGAGTTCCTTCGAGGCTGCAGATACGCCTTGCTGACTAGTAAGTAGCAACTAACACGAAACCTTGGTCCAAGGCTCCCTGCAAATCTCCTCCGACCATCTAATAGGTTATTTTGTACCAACATTGCCATTAGGAGTATAAAAGAAATTCTTTTTCTTTATTTTTATGACTTTTCAGCTACGAGTCCGCTCTTTCTGCACCAACATCAGATGGGGTAGATAAGGAGCTACAAACTTTTGTTCAAACAATACAGCAAAGAGCGGAATTTCAAAGTCATGTTAATCATTTGGCTTCTATTTGTTGGGACAAATGCGTCAGTGGATACCCATCATCAAAAATGGATGCTAAGAAAGCCAACTGCATAGAGAACTGTACCGAACGTTACCTTGATGTCTCTATGCTACTTCGTAATAGATTTCAGTCGATGTTAGCTAATTTACAACATTAATTTACTTCGCATTTTTCCTTAATTACAATTGAATTTGTGTACATAAAACTCTAGGAAATGTACCTGTTGTTCTCTGTGCTTGTGTAGTTTACGTGGACTGTTGTAAATGCTTTATTTTTCTACATGTACAATTTTGAATATAACTGGTGCTACATGTAGTTCATAATTTTAGCTTTCAATAAAACCTAGACTTAATGGAAAACCTTTTTCATATTTTGAATCAAGAATATTTCTAACTTCATTTTTACGTTATAGTTTGAAATTACTGTCAACGATGAAACGGTCTTTAAGTACCCTTAAGTTAGTGTACATCTCAAATGACCGAGGGTGAAGTTGTTGACAAGCGACTATATGCCTTCATTCTACATGCCAGCGCCTTCCTCTTGGAAGAATGTTAGCCGACATAGGATTAGGTTGGAGCTGGTCAAATCAGAACCTGGAATCAATATATGTGGTCTTTGACAGTTGCTTCGAGTCACGTAGGAAGGTGTAGGTTGCTCGGAACTTTAAGAACCAATGGCTTGAGACTTGGTGATATGGCTAAGAATCGTTCTTGAAGGAGCAGATGCATTCACTCGGTTAAGTTCACGTGAAACATTATTTGAGTCGACACAGGAAAGTTATTTGAATTACTTCAGTGGGATTTTGTAAAGGGTATGCGTAATAAGCAAGGATTTTGACCAGATTTGCATGTGAACGTTGTAAGCCACAACCTAAATACATCACACTGTGATAGATATCGCAACTCCTATCGTATTCTGCCTTTAATTAGACTATTATAAACATTTTGTCCGGCAATACTTCTAAGTACTATCACAGTTGATAAATTCCACGGCACAGATTTCTGTATAGTTATTCAATCAATATTACCTTTAATGTATCAACTTCATATAATCGATTAAACAGATCTAAGGAGTTTACTTTCAACAAAATGCAATTATATATGGATGGAAGAATACAATAACTTTCCTGACATTTATTAGACAAATAATGCATCAAAAGACAGACTGCAAAAAATTTAAGTGTGATTATCTTAGGTACTCCTTGATTGTTATTCTTGCTTACTTATCAAGCAAAGTAGTAAAAAATAATATAAATAATTATTGTACATAAATACTAGTTACAAAATGTTGTCCCTCCAGTAGAGGCTATATAATCCATATGTATGTACATAAAGGAAGTGCTTGTTTATGAGGAGAGGTGAGTTCTTTACATTGCATATAAAATGATATGTTCACCTTTGTGGAATGATTAAAACAAACTGATTTCCTTTGTCTATATCATGAACGAATTTGTAAGCGCAGAAATTCGTCACCTTTATTGAAGGCTCCCGTCTATGTTCTTTCGACAAGCAGGGCTACAATAAAATACAAGGAGCAAACGATCAATAAAGTATAGAATGAAAGCCAATGTAATTCCGTGTGTGAAGGTTTCGAAAGTGATTTCTATAATATCACATATACGCATCGCAGTAGTGTTAATGTCTGTAACAACAATTTTGTTCCAAACACTTTCTACAATTACTATAAGATTAAATAACAACGCAGAACATAACCACTAACTCTTATTGTTACTGCTCATATGGATTGTCTATAACACCTAAAAAATGATTGTATTGAAGACATGAAAGAGCTTATTCCGGCTTGGCGCTAGTACTAGAAGAAATTCTTCTTCAGAAGATAGTTTTGTCGTGTTCTATTTGTTTTTCATTGGGATCGACAAGAAATTTTGCTTAGTGCGCGCCAGTGTATTGTTAAGATGAGGATACGTAGATGTTCACAAAACCAACTAAAAAAAAACGACAACATGTGACTAATGGTGTGAAGTGATCAAATATTCACCCTTTGTTTTAACTCTACAGTATGCGTGTACGTATCACGTTACTCTGTACACTATAAATATTTTGATTTCTAGGAGACATTCAACAATGTTGGTCACGAAGCTCTTTTAAGAGTGGTTGGCTATGAAAGCATTATTGAAGGAAGACTCAAGCTGAACTTGTAGGTCTTGTAATGATGATCAACAGTAAAGTTAGCAATAACTAACGGTATCGTCGAAAGATATCGATCACAAAAATTTCTACTTCCTCTGGTTGACAATTTTTGTATACGGTTTTAGTTGCTTTTTTGATTATTTATTTAATAATTTAGTGGCGAAATAACTACAGACAATAATTGAACGGTCTGTATATCAGGATGCTTGGATGAAATATCAGAAAATGTTTTATGCGCATTTCATATTATTCTGTTTGCAATAAAACTTCAGAGTCGATGTGAACAACCAGAAAGCCTAACGATATGTATTTAAGCGACCTTTTTAAAACTTTGTATCAGCCTCGATAGAATCTACTCCTAGATCAATCAAGGCATATAAACGCTTTAGTATGGTGAAGGCTGTAAAGAGTTATGAAACTCCGTTGTGTGCTGAAATGCACATATACCACTTTGACAAAGCCCTGTCCATATCTGGAAAACCCGATTTCTGAACCAGTAGGGAAATATGTGCTGTACAATCTCGGGATAGGTATGGTTCATTGATAAAACGATTACTTTCCTAGAACTTTCTGTCATTGGAGAACCTGATGTAACTATCATGAAATGAGTTGTACCGTTTCAGTCTTGCTACTTCTAATATTCACACATTGATGCAAATCAACAGATTCTATCGAAACTTTAAATTCAGGTTTAAAACACATGACTTTTCTGAATCTGATTTCACTCGCACAGAATAGTTGTTTGGTTATGACCATCACGTGAAATGAAAGATAACCTAAGCAATTACAACGAATTCTTACAATTGAAATAAGGATTTGCATGTATTGTAGGAGAATGTTACTATTAAGGTATCAGGCTGTTGGGTCATAACTTCAAACAATTCACAGTACACCCAACACAAAACTGATTTGACAACACAGATTTCCAAGCTTGAACTTTCTTCAGTTAAGTACTTCTGAACATCTTACGATTGGCTTTCAACCAGATATCGTGGATTTCGTAAAGGATACAAAGCAGATATATCATAATGGAATGGTTTGTGCTTCAGCTTAGAGAAACCATTATGTCACAGGATATACTGTCAGATAATATTTTACTTGAAGATATCCTACGACGGGAAAATACCATGCAATAAACTCCTCTGAAAGTTCTGTTCATCCTATAAATACTGTCCAGAATAAAAATGTTATTATAATAAGTTGTTCTGGTGACAATTCGAACAATAAAAAGAAGGTAAATTCAGTCTATGTGGCTTGATTGATAAATAGGCACGCAAAACGGAAGTTTTCTATAATACATAAATAATGCAGTGCAACAGAAGTGATCATGAAAACTTACGTTGACGAGCATTAGCGGGGGGTCGCATGGTCATATCTATCCATCTGTGGGAATGAATAAAATATATTTTGTCATTAACGAACAGAAAAAGACCATTCTTATTGGATAGTACTTTTAAAATGTATTGAAAGGAAAGAAAATTGTTCAATTTATTTTAAAGAAGACAAGAGCTTAGTATGATATGAACCTATTGGCGTCTATAAAAATACAAAGAAAACTTTTTCACCGGTATGTTATAGGTTAGCAATAAGATTTAAAGTGCATAGTAATCTCAGTAATGTAAGTAGGCTTAATTAACTCGTGTCCTTAATTTCGTGTACGTATACTTCGTGCACCTCCCGAGTCCAACTTCAGAACTCAACAATTTCAAATAAAGGAGGGCTGTATCTGTATTCATACCGAAAGAACGGTCACCTATTTATATAGAGACACTAAACAGGTGACCATGTAAACGAGTGGTTTAAAGTGCAGATATCGCAAAATGCTTGATTCTTTGCCTATTTTCTACCAGTAAATTCTTTAGACAAGTCTAAAGATTTCTTACTAATCATAGACATTTAGTTAAATGTTGTGTTTAGACATTTTGGTCTTCTAATCCCAGGATTGTCTTTTATCCTATATAACAACTTCGGTCGAAATTAAAGTATCATAGCCAAGGTCAAGGTCTTTCGGAAGATGACCTTCGAGAACCAATCAGATACGGGGAAGGCTATGAAAAGTCCCTCCAAATCAAGTCATATCTGCCTCTTTGCACTTGGAGGAGGCATATACAATATTCCACTTATTCTCTGGGTACTTTTTGGAACGTGGCAACTCGAACTGCTGCACTTCGGTGCCAAGTTCTATGTTGAATCCAGACAGACAGACTTTTTCTGTAAATATATATTGTTAGGTAGGGTTACTTTTTAGATTAGAATTGAGGTTAGGATTAGGGTTAGAGTCAGGAGAAGGTCAAAGAACAGTGTCAGAAATACCAACAGATCTCTAAGTACCGTGACCTACAGTCACCAGGATGAGTGCATCTATCGCTCATAATATGATTTCTCTTTAGATCGTCTGTGTTGTAGTGATTCGGAGAAATTCCTTCAACAAATAAGTATAATGTGTTTTAGTGCCTTTTTTTAACGATTATGCGATTTTTTTGCATCTGAACTCCGTTTGGGTGTTCAAGGTCACTGTACTTTTGGCTATGATAGTTTAAATTCGCCAGCATTTGCGTTTCCGCTCTGAGGTTCCTGAAACTCAAGGAAGGAAGTTTATCGAATCTCATGAGGTGTTCTGCTTGCACAGTTAATGTCAAGATCAAATATGAAATAGCACATTACATTAGTTATGGGTTCGTTCTCCCAACTCTTCGTTGAAAAATGTATCTGAGTCTATCTCATGTGGTAGACCTTTGAGGCTAAGCATATTTTTTTGAGAATAGAATTTTTGAAGGATATTGTTGGAAAAAAATATCCCGTAGTATTTGTTTTTAATTACATCTTCGATATCCTGATGCAAGGAGTACTGTTGACCAAACACTACCCATACGAAGTATTTTACTCAGATGGTGATCATACATTCGATCTCCCTATCTACATATGGATTTGATCTAGTAGAAGGTAAACACTTTCATCATACTCGAATATATGATAGAATAATAAATTTCTTACACCATGATCTATTTTTTAATTGCCTTAAGAAGTTGAAAGAACACTTATAAGCGTCTAGGTGTTATAAACAATATTTCCATTGCAATCATATAAATGATTATAATAACGACATGTCTGTCTGTCTGTTTTCGACATAGAACTTTGCACAAATGTGCGGAAGTTCAAGTCGCCACACTCCATGTAGCACACGAAGCAAGAGAAGAAAGTACAAGAAATGCATAACAGAGACAGTAAGCAGAGGTGTGAGACAAAGGAAGAGTAATGATGAAGAACAAAACAGTTTCATTAGATATCATAAGTCATAAGGAGTGGATGCATCTGCGCCAGCTACTGAGAACGATTTTGAGCCATGTCACCAATTTTTTCCAACCATTGATTTTTACCGTCCCGAGGACCCCAGCCTGGAAGTCCACATCTTTCTACGTGGCTTAGACTAACTGTTGTAGATTTCATTGACTGGTTCCATGTTTTGGTTTGACCGCCGCTGGCTCTTTTCCAGCCTGACCCTATATCCGCTAACATCGCTTGTCGAGGAAGGCGATGACTAGGCATACGTAACACATGTCCTAACCATCTCAGTCTTTGTAGCTTCACGACTTCGTCGATTGATAATAACGACATGACAGATAACATGCACCAATCCATGAAGTGACTGACTGCTGGTCTGAGTGATATACACAAGTACCATTTGCCTGTTTAAAGTGCACATGGTTACCATTATCTGTAGTAAGTGACTTTAGGTAATATGGTTTGAAATTAGTGGCAGTATTATACCTTTGCTTTGTATTCATCCTAAAGATAGTATCTTGTTCTAATATTTCCCTTCCCTTTTCCGCGTTTATCTTATTGTAGTCAACATCCTTTGTACTATACTGAATTTGTTCCTTCTGGTTCATTTTTTTCACCACCCTTTACGTGAATAGAAGGTGTGAAGTACTGTGTAGTAATGCTAGGTTACATGTTAATAATATATGTGTGTACGAAGGTCACGTTACCAACAGAATTGAGTGAAGTTTGCCTATCGGTAAATAGTTAGTTGACGAAGAAATTAACCAGGTGAAGGGAAACAATGAGGTCCAAGTAACTCTACTAATCAACTTACGTCTGTTCTTCTTTTTGTTTACGGATTCTTCGTTTACGTAGAAGAAATACAACAGCCAATACAAGAAGAATCAGTCCGAGAAATGAAACTAAATCAATGAAAAAGAAATAACAGGAAATGCATTTTAAATAATTCAAAAACTTCCATTACGAAAATCGGACAATACATTGTAGATTTTATGAAGTCTAACTTTAGATCGGTTGAAGAAAATGTATCTATATGTGAAATAATATTCTGTTGGACACATTCTCTGTATCACACTTCCACAGTTGGAACTTATGCTGCGAATCGTCCTATAATCTTATTAACCATTGAACTTGAGGATATTTTTTTTATCTACAGAATTGCTGAAGTCAATTTAGATGTTATCTTTGTTGGTTAGATTGTATTAATTATCAATGAAAGCTGAACAGAAGTGAAACTATTCATTCTTTGCAAAATGAGATATTCTCTTTTTTTATTTTGAATGTAGTGAAAAAAGTAATCTATAACTTGCCACAACCTAATTACCCACAGTGCATAAAATGTTTATTTGCAATAAACAAGCTGACAAGAAGTATATTCGTCTTACTGTTGTGATAATGATCCGGATAGGTACACAATGATAATTCAATTCAATGCAGTACATTCTGGCATGAAATTCACGTGCGAAGAGGAATCCCAAAGTAGAATTGACTTATTAGATGTCCTGCTTACAAGAAAACCAGATGGTAGTATAAAGGGAAATTTGCACAGGAACAATATACACATTTTCATAGCTTCGTTCCTCTCCAGTACAAAAGAAATTTAGTAAGGACCGTCAGACACAGGGTTAAAGCCCAATGCTCAGAAGAGGTAACTGAAGATTAACTAAGGATTGTGTATATGATACCTTAGTTGAAAATGTCTATCCAGACATATTCATCAGGAAACACATGATTAAGAAAGTTGAAAAGGACTACTCACTATCGGTCAACAAGTAGCCTTTATATATACGACTGCAATTCAAAGGCGATATACCTAGCGAAATAATTACGAAGAAATTATAACTATATTTCAATAGTTCACACACAATGATAACTTTTTGTTTTTGGTGTGATCACGGGCAGTCATTTTGTCCGAAATATTACCAAAAACGAAGACTTACGATTGTGTTTAAACTACTGAAATATAATTATAATTTATTTGATCTAGCCCAATATGCTCAAACTTTTTACTGACATTAATTACGAAGAAGTTTAGAAAATCAGTTCAGAGAACTTTTAATGCTGACCAACTAAAAGTCTTATTTTCTACATGACCTATGGTGACTTCTTAAGTGAAAGATGAAGTACCTACCTGCGCTTGTGAAGGGAGTTATATATATATACATATATATATATATATATATATATATATATATATATATATATATATTAAAAAACTAACTGACTATTGTTCCATCCCATTTTATACTTGTTCCACAATACACTTTCTGATATGATTCTAATTTGCCTTTCCTGACTGCCAGTTTACGCCGACTCTGGCGTAGACGAAATGTTCGACTATCGACCAAAGGAAGGGTGTACTGCTCATCAGTCCGCTCCGTCCTCCTTTATGGTTGTGAGACCTGGCCACTGAGAGTGGAAGACATGAAAAGGCTGGCTAGCTGTCTTTGATCATAGGTGCCTGCGCTCTATATCCCGTGTAAAGTGGCATAATACGGTGAGCAATATTGAGGTGAGGCATGGGTCGAGTTCTAGGTAAACAGGGAAATCAATCGACGAAGTCGTGAAGCTACAAAGACTGAGATGGTTAGGACATGTGTTACGTATGCCAAGTCATCGCCTCCCTCGACGAGCAATGTTAGCTAACATAGGGTCAGGCTGGAAAAAACCTAGCGGCGGTCAAACAAAAACTTGGCATCAGTCAATGAAATCCACAACAGTTGGTCTAAGCCACGTAGAAAGGTGTAGACTTCCAGGCTGGGGTCCTAGGGACGGTAAAAATCAATGGCTGGAAAAAATTGGTGACATGGCTCAAAATCGTTCTCAGTGGCTAACGCAGATGCATCCACTCCCTGTGACTTATGATCTTCAATGAAATTGTTTTGTATTTCTTTATTACTCCTTTGTCTCACACCTCTGCTCACTGTTTCTATTATGCTTTTCTTGTACTTTCTTCTCTTGCTTCGCGTGCTACACGGAATGTGGCGACTTGAACTTCCGCACATTTGTGCAAAGTTCTATGTCGAAAACAGACAGACTGACTATTGTATGCTTAAATGAATGGATTTATAATTGTAGAGCCCGAAGAAGAATTTATTGAAAACAATTGTTCGCTCTAAATATTTTGTTCTGAATAACTTATTACATCGGCCCTTTTGATATGGCTCTCCACCCCGTAAATACAAATTCCCCTACCATTTGTCATTAAATTTGCATTAAATATCCATTTGTTTTCTTTATTAAACGTAGTGGTTAACTTACACACTGACGCACATACGATGCACAAAAAATTCAACCCCCGAAAATCGTTTTTTCTCTACCCCCGACCTTGACATGATCATTCATTCATCTGAAGTTTATAATTAGTACGAATAAAACTTAATATGAACACGACTCATAAGAATTTTCTATAGTCTGGTTTTTGTAAGGGTTAGTTATGTTTTTACGATCACGGATTGATATCAGTTAGAGACACATTAAAAATTAGGGAGTACTGGACAGCTACTGTTTATTCCTAGTTTGGGAATCATCGGTAGTACGCACCCACTGGGATTCGAACCCAGAGACTTTATCATTATGCATGTCCTTTGTCATTCTTAATCATTTACTTTGTAATATTGGTGTTCAACTTAGTATTACAACTATACATATTACCACATACATATATTTTGGACTATAATATATATTGTTTTTCATTAATTGGGAAATACAAAAACATTTATTATCATGAATATCATATACCCAATGCCCAAATTTTTTCAAACTGTTAAAAGTGAACTTGGTTTAGACATATATACTAACAATCTAATTGTAAATAACTTTTGGAATTCTGATCTAAATTATTCGATGTTGCTCTTTAAAAACCACAAATGTTGTCAATAACAATCATTCTTTCAAATTTAAAACAATTAGTTTCCTTTATGAATTTAGACAAGGCAATAAGAAGACATAATTTGTCTGAATCGTGTAATGTATTTGCGCAACACATATCAAACTATGTGATCACAAACGGATTTTTCATAAGGAATTAATAGGAAGTTAAGAGGTGAGACAATGAATTTAGCTCAAGTTAAAATGACATATTGAGGGGCAAAATAACAATGAAGATCACTAAACCAAATAACGGAGGTAACAGTACATCTGCTATGGTATCAAAACAAAGTTTACCAAGGAAGGTTTAGTGTGATGCCGAATTTTTTTGAACACATAAAGGTGGTTTAAACTTACTAATTGCTAGCTAGGGCTTTCACAAACTTTATGATACGCCCCCAGCACGTTTTATAGGTTGGTTTAAAAGACGTGTAAATATCAGTTCTATGTTCTGTCTCTATAATATGTTACGCAATAGAGGAACTAGGTCTCCTGTTCTCACCATTAATAAGTTCTTGGCATTTCATTTGCTTCTGAAGCCATTTAGGAATATGCTCTGAAGGCCTTACTTTGTTTTGATACTATAGTAGATGTACCATTGTAGCGACAGAAGACAAGCGCCAGGCAGCAGATTGTTTATTCAGGAAATCAACAGATATTTATAGATTTTTACCTACATTATTATTCGTTATTATTAGCAGAGGTAACGTCTTCTGATTGTTTGTTTTCCTGCTGAAGGTTATTCTGTTATCTCTTGTTGCCGTTTCTTAGTCCGCTGATATATATGCTAATCGTATCCACCCACGCTAAGTCTGCTGTGATTGGTTGTTGAGTTAATCTTTGTTCTTGTTTTTTTCTCATAAACAAGATTTGGGACGCTAAACACTGACGTAAATTGCTGTCTGCCAACTTTGGCTAGCAAACAGCTCTCACCACACTATTACCTCATTGTTATTTTGACCTTAAATATGTCATTTTAACTTGACGTAAATTTATTTTCTCACCTCTTCATTCTCTATTAATTTCATATATATTCCTATGACATATCCGTGTGTGGTCAGATAGTTTGAAATGTGTTGCGCAAATAAATGACACGATTCAAATAAATCATTCTTTCGTTTTTATGGAGATATAACTGTCGAACCTGATGATGAAGTAATCGGAAAGAATATTCTTTGTTCAATAATTAATCTTCAGAAAGTAAGTAATTTGGAAAAAATCTCAGCAATTCCACTGAATGCATTAACACACAACCACACAATAGGGTGGGATAGAGTTGAAATACTCAAAAGTAATATAGGTATTTGGAGAGAGAGAGAAGTTGATTACTAAATCCTTGTTCATGGAATCTACACACAACACATGCAATAGGAGTGACTCATCATAGATATCAGAAATATGGAAAATATTACAAGTAATCATATCAAGCGGAATCATATAAGCGAAGTTGGAAAGTTGTGTGAGTAACTTGATATGATTATGAGCAGTAATAAATTGTGCTCGAAACGTGGTCATCAGTAAATATTACTGCATAACACTGTGAGATTTTTATAAATTTTATTCACAATGGAATTCAGTTCTACTTGTATTATTTACTTACCAGCGATAATAATTGCGAATAGTGGAATCGGGATACCGTTAATCCTTCCAGTACCTAAATTAAATGAAAAAAGTAAATAGTAGTCCTAGTCATCTGATACTATATTAAGTATAATGCTACCTTGTAAGCACGAGGTTTCTAGAAAAGAAACACAATAAAAACAACTGCAATATGATTTTCAGTCTTACTCATTATGGAACTAAATGGATGACTAATAAAATTCTGTATAAGTTATATCGACTTAACATCACAAGATACTTAAAAAATCTTCCTGTTATGTAGATGCGTTTGAAAAAGTTATGAGTTTATGTGGAATGTAGACAAAACATTTCACACACATGTTAAATTGACACACTTTTTTTATTCCTTTACGTTCCCAGTGGAAAAAGCTAGAGACTTGAAGTTTCTGTAGCGGTGTTTATTTTAACAGGATGGGTTTGCTAGCCTCTTCCCCAACCTTACCTCTTTACCAGTGTTATTACTGGCTTAACGAGGTAAGACAGTGCGTTGGCCAGGGATCGAACCCCGGACCACATGCATGGTCGGCGAACATTCTACCGCATATACAAGGAATCAAACAACATCTGTTACTGACATATCTAATTATGACTCATTTTATGGATAGAAGTAACGAAGATTCGTCCGTTATTTGTTGAATGTTTGTGTTCAAGTGACTTAATCAGTTGCTTTCCAACTATTAAGTTATAACTCTGGTTAGTCATGCAACTGGAATGGAACGTGATGCCTAAACAAACCAAGAGGAATAGTTGAAAGAGAACTTGTTCCGAAGATTGGTTTCGGTGAATTACTTCAGGAGTCTGAATAATTATGAAGAGATTCGATGAGAACGATAATTCTATAGAATTAGCATAAAGAATATCTAAGATTGCTTGATAAATAGCCACTCGTGCTGTGGTGTGTGATACTGATAATTTACAGGGGTTATATAGTGTGATGACTCCGGCAAAAATCATGAACAAATAAATTACTGGTAAATTTCCAAGCAAGAGAAATATGGAAAGTTGGCTATCGATATAGAAGGAAAGGATTAAAGTGAGGGATTGAATAGAGGAACATTGCATGAAGTAGCACACAATGTGTGCAGATTGAATTCCCGGTATAGGGTTGTTATATTATTCCGTGCTGTGCGTAGTTTAAAACATAAAAGTTCCATACTACATTCACGATGTGTTGCGTTTAAATCAATACCTCCTTATGTTATGTACTGCTAGTTAGTGGTTAATAGTAGTTTTTCCCGTCGCCAATTATGTTATGTACTCGTCGAGTAGTTAATAGTCCTGACGCGGAAAGAGGGAAATCAGAAGACCACTAGGTTTACGATGATACTTGTATTTTCCAGACAAGGAAAATGTCACACAAGTGTGTGAGTGGAAGCGTACTTAGATGTACGAACGTGGGAAACAGAATGATAAAATGTACAATGCAAAGTATATATGAAAATGGCTAATACACATGAACCAATAAATAGAAAGTCTTAACATGATTGGTTGTAATGTCATGTGATAACAAGGTCATACATGTTTATTTAGTTAGTGGACAGACAAAAGCATATTGTCAGTTATAATGAAATACCGACCCATATACACAGCAAAATATAATAGACTGTCAAAAACAAAACACACATCATGTGGATACATATAACCTTAGGACTAAGTGTTTTTGGCGAAAAGTTGTGAGCTAACGGATACCAAATCTACTGTCTGAATGATAATACGCTTGTCCAGTAAGCATCTGGTCATGAACTTCCTTACAGGGTCGTAGTATGACATAAATGAGGAATCTCAAGCCCATTTCTTTTTGGTTATTCCAGATAAAGTCGGTTCTTTTATTTATTTTTGATTGCAGCTTGATTCCACACTGTACTTTTGATACAAATATGGAATTTTCAGCATGGATATCGGTAGCCCAAATTTTTCAGGCCGACCATAGATATCAGGTGTGCGTCGGCAGGGGATCGAACCTCGGACCATGTGCATAGTCGGCGAGAGTCCTAACCACTATGCCACCGACTCACATAATAAAGAAAGTTTTGAGAACCTCTTTGTTAAAATGATGACGAAAGTTGTCACCCATCCAAAATAGTACTGGATTGATATACTCTTCTTCTCTGAGAATATTACTATTTCCAGACTTAAAAAATTACATAGGAATGCGGTAATCAAATCAATAATTGTTTATATTTCTCTCAAGTTTAAAAAGCTGTGTTACACACAATGAATTTGAATCAAGCTAATGCCCTTCTTATTTAATTAGCTAACAGAGAATAGCAAGATAGTATGAAACTAATGAATTTATTTCGCTTTAATTTGTAGTAAACAGAGCTGATATGATTTAGGTCTGTCTAGTGAACTCTCAGTATTTAAAAAAAGCTTCAAATAGTTTGAAAAAGTCATAAAATATGGATAAAGGCCAACAGAGACAGATAGTTTCGATTCAGTAGCACAAAATCGATAGTAAGACAATAGGTGGCTTAGTACTCTGATGGATCACCCTTAGATATTTGAAATGGTCAGTATACGATTGAAGTCGCAGTGGGAATATCATTCGTTACTGAAAGACGCTTACAACCTCCAGATGACTAGCACCAAACAGAATGAAACAGATGATCTAAATGCAACTGCTACAAACCTTTTATAAATTAAAACAACAAGGCATGTACTTACGATTCACTATTTTGTGTAACTAAGTAGTTCCTTCAGTGATAATGACTTAATTGGACAAATTATGAAGAAGAAACACTTTACATCCAAAGATTCTTCTTATGTCAATATTGCAGTCTCCGCGAATGCAGTTATCATATTAATTCGTAAATGGGAAGAGTATTTTTACGGATGATGCTGAAACCACAGCTATTTATCGGTAATTTACATGACAGCTGGTTAAACCTTTTTGCGGTAGCATTGAGAATAAGATTTGATTACTAGAATGATTTGTTAAATTTACCGGTGAACGACCGGAAAAATTGCAAGGAAGTTGTTAGTTAGGGTCGTGCCACATGCTAACCTTCTATTTTAGCATCAATTTTTAGACAACAGAACTTCGCCTAGTTTTCTAGTCAGCTCCAAGTCTGGGAAAAGAGGGTAGGTTGAGCGTGGCACTGGTGACCCTACCCAGGAAAATCAATCCAGTCACTACAAAACTTCAAAGAACAAGAGAAATATGAAAAAACAAACTTATTCTTCGTTGGTATCGGAAGAACGGGATAATACCGGCTGGTGAAAGCCTTCAAGGAGCCAGTCAGTCAATGTGTTTTCTTTTGATGAAAGAAAAAAACACTGAGACTTGGAATGTTCATACACTGTAAAAAGCTGTGAAGGCTGCCAAGGTTTTCAAAGAAATGAGAAGATAAGACATAGGAATACTATGAATCTGTGAGAGCATATGAGACGGATGTGGACTACAGAAATCATCAGCTGGTGAGTCAGTAATCTACTCCAGTCACCCAGATGACAACCGCAAGCACATTGAGGCAGTGAGTGTTTATCACGATGTCACCAGTGGCATCTAAAGCTCGAATGCAGTAGGAGCCAATCTCTTCCAAGAATACAACAGCACGATTCAACTCAAAAGGAAGTAAGGAAGGTCACAATTATCCAGTGCTACAAATAACGCAGAACAAGAGAAGGAAAATTTCTATAGATAACTGCAAACATTAACGGACAATATCCCAAATGGCGACATCAAAATCCTTATGAATGATAAACTTGATGCAGACAATACAGGAAGAGAACTCACCATGGGTCAAGAGGCTCTCGGCAAAATGAATGACAATGGAGAACTCTTCGCAGACTTCTGAGCCTTCAATGATTTGATGATCGGAGGCAGAGTATACTAACACAAGGTGAAACTGACGCCATCGAACAGACATACTAAGCATTAGATAGACCTTATTTCGATCTCGAGAGAATGGAGACGTAGTCTGTTGGACACAAAGTCGGGAAGGGGAGCAGATGCAGAATTAGACCATCATCTAGTATAAGGAACCTTTAGGGTGAAGCTGAGAGCTTTCAAAGCAACTGGAAATAGACCACAATTCAAGTTCAACATTCAGAAACTGAAGGACAAAACTACGAGGCATACTTTCACTGCAGATCAGATCAGAGCAAAGTCGGAGGCACTACGTGATATCACTGAGGAAACCTGCGTGAAAGAACATTAGAACTCTCTGAAGGCGATATTTAAGGAAACGTGTACAACTGTTCTAGGAAGAAGGAAGAGACAAGACAAGGAATGGCTCTCAGTGGACACCTGGAAGCTAATCGAGGAGAGAAGGGTGGTGAAACAGAAGATGACTCAGTGCATAAATGGACAACAGAAGGAGAAGCTGAGTCCGCTGTACAGTGCACTGAATGAAGAGCGAAGTGAAGAAGAGTGCTAGGAAAAACAAAAAACAATTATACGACAAACTGACCGGCAACTGAAGTAGAACAGGCAGTAAGCAGGTACAAAAGACCTCAGAATATTATATCAGATAACCAGGTCTCTGTCCGGGAACAGATCAACCTAGATGATCAAATCAATAAAAGATGTTCAAAGGAACCTAATTACCAAGGAGGAGAGACATAGAGAGAAAACAATGGGCTGATCAATTTCAATGACTCATGAATCGACCATCTGCTTCAACTCGCCCAGAAATACCACCAACAACACGCACAGCACTGCCTACCAATGGACACCAATACTCCAACGAAAGCAGAAGTCTTTAATGCAATCAAGCTACTGCAGTTCAGTCGGGAAGGAAGCAGGGTCAGACGGAATTCCTCACGAAGTACTGAAGACGGACCCAAAGACTGCAGCAGATATGCTTACGCCGTTATTTCAAACGTTTGGAAGGAAGGAATGATGCCTACCGATTGGAAGAAAGGCTACCGTATCAACCTATCAAAGAAAGGCGACTTAGGCCTCTGCAACAACTGTCTTGGAATTAAGTTCTTGTCCATGCCAAGCAAAATTCCAAGTCGCATTGTTCTGGAGAGAATAAAAGATGTGATGGATGCAGAACTCCCGCCGGAATAATCTGGATTCAGAAAAAGCAGATCATGTGTGGATCAAAATGCAACCTTAAGCATCATCATCGGACGAAGCATAGAATGGCAGTGAAATCTCTACTTCAATTTCATCCACCTTGAAAAGGTCTTCGACAACGTTGACCAAGAAGTAATTTTGGAGCTGCTTCAACACGACAGAGTCCTGTGACACAAACATTTCTCAACCTCCCTCAATAGCTGTCTATATAACAATGCCACATGCCTACCGATCCACAACAGGAAACTTAGTGGGGCGTTTGAAGTGAGTACAGGAGTGTAACAAGGCTGTCTACTATCAACGATGATATTCCCAATTTTGGTCGACTAGATTATGCCTCAGACTGTGGGGGACGAGAAGACAGGAATACGCTAAGCCCCCAATAAGAAGACTCTAGAAAATCTGGATTTCGCGAACAATTTACGTCTGGTGTCATTCGAAGCCTTACAGATGAGAACCAATAAACTTTCTGAAGAAGCAGCAAAGGTAGGGCCTAAAGTGAACATAGGGAAAACGGGGGTGATAGAGATAACCAACCGACAACAAAAAGCAACAACCACCTCAACGGGACGAATTTGAAAGTGACAACTTCGTTCACATATCTAGGTAGCTTCGTCTCAGCACTACAGGCGGAACGGAGGAGGCATATCAAAACCAGGATCGGAAAGGCAAGGTACACCTTCATCACTTTGAGGTCAGTTTGGGGATCTTCTGAACTAACTCAGCATAAACAACGAAATTCGGATTTGTAACACCAATGTTAAGTCAGTTCTTCTATATGGGTCAGAAACTTGGCTAAGGCATCACGAAAAGTATTTCAAACCGCTTGCAGACTTTTAACAACAGCTATCTCAGTTGGATCCATACTGACGATCAGATGGGCGACCGGGAAGATTCAACAACACGAAACTCTGAAAGAGAACCAACCAAAAAGCTATTGCTCAACAAATATCCCGAAGAAAATATAGATGGATGGGACACACGCTGAGGCAACTGTTGGGTGACATCACGCGCAATACACGACATGGCTCAAGCGAAACCCGAATAGGCATCCGAGGATGACATGGAGGAGATCGTATGAAGAATAGATGAAAACTTACGGGTAATTGTGAGGCCAGATGAAGAGGACAGAACACAATTGAGACGACCTATTGACGCCCTATGAACTATTCAAAACCCAAGGGAATAATAATTAAAAAAACAGTCTCCTAACATATAACATAATGTAAATCAGCTGAATAATATTAATTCATTCAAAATATAATGGAATACATAAAAGAGAACTTTTTATTGATCTCTTTCTTACATAAATAGCCATTTTCGTCTGATCCATCTCGACAATTAGATATGCCATCACATGTAAGAGAATCAGGTATACAATTAGTGGCTGCATCCCAACATCGAAATGTGTTTGATGGACAATTGTATGAAGGTCCCAATACTATTCAACCGAAGAAATAAACAATATAAATAGAAGATAAAATATAAAAGCTAGAAGAAACCTCACTTTTGAATGAATGATATGTGACTAAACACTAACATTAATTGATTTGTCCATAAGTTAATTCGGTTTCCTTCATTAAATGCCTAAAGAATGCAGAAATACTAAACGGATTTCATAAAAAAAGTTGAACCATCTATTCAAAAGACTGTAATAAAATGCTTTTTATTGACATAATCAGCTCTTGATCTTAGATGCTTAAAGGCGATCAACAGGAAGCTTTGAATCTAGGTTTCTTGGTTGCTGATACTCTTCAGCCAGGTATATCTGTAACCTTATAGTAACCTGATGTCTTCTGTGGGATTCGAACTCACTTTACTCAATGCTGCAGTCTACAGACCTTACCGCTGAGCTATTCATCTCTTACAGTTTTATTTTGTGAAGGGATACAATAGTTATTAGATGGCATTAAATTTAATCCTTCGAATTTAAGATATCAACTTGTGAACTTGATATGATTATGAGCAATAATTTGTTCTCTAAACGTCACCAGTTAATATTACTGTGTAACACTATGTGACTTATCAAAATCCATAATGAAATTACACTCTACCATAGTGCCCAAGTTTTATGCTTATATCACTTAGAATTGAATTTTGCATATATAATCTAATGATTTGAAATTAAACCGTAACATTATTAAACATCATTTCTATCTAACTAATTATTGAAATATTCATACTTTTATAAAATTGAACGGATTTAGTACAGCATTTAAATTACCATAGGAAGATATAACAAACTGATACTCCACATCTGATGCTGCAGAATTATATGGATCAAATAAAATTTGTATTCGAAGATTCGGTGATGATGTGTGTACAGTTTTACTTTGCATAGATGCATAATTTGTACAATTGGCTTGGAACTGTATTTGGAAAAAAACGTAAAAATTTGGTACTCTAATGATTACATTTTCAATATCAAATGCTTAAACTAGACTTTAAATATTGAGTATGATATATTAACTTAGCGAAAAAAAGTATTTAAAATGAATTGATCACGGATTGATATCAGTTAAAGAACCATTGAAAACCAGGGAGTACTGGACAGCTGTTTCATCCTAGTTTGGGAATCATCGGCAGTATGCATCCACCACCAGAGTTCGAATCCAGGGCCTTCCGGTTACAAGGCAAGCTCGTATACCATTCGGCCACTGGGATCCGATCCAATGACCAGTGCATGAATTCTAACTTCAACCAATTCGTGATTTAGTGCGAACCAAACCAATGTCGTCGGTGGGACATCCATCCTCACACTTGGATGGATGTACCTCACTGGTCACGACTTCTCATTGGAACTCTAGGAAACTCTATCCTGTAGCAAGTCACTAGCGAGCATCAGATTAATTTCCCATAGGTGGTTTGTAAGGTAGAAGTTAGAATTCATGCACTGGCCATTGGATCGGATCCCAGTGGCTGAGTGGTATACGAGCTTGCCTTGTAACTGGAAGGTCCTGGGTTCAAACTCTGGTGATTGGTGCATACTGCCAATGATTCCCACACTAGGATGAAACAGCTGTCCAGTACTCCCTGGTTTTCAATGGTTCTCTAACTGATATCAATCCGTGATCAACTTGTAAAAACAAAAACTAACCCTTACAAACCAACTATAGAAAATTTCAAATGAATGACAGATCCTACTAGACTTATGATGTCAATTTATTTCTCATGGCAGACCAAAATCCTACGGCAAATAATTTCAGAAATCAAATAGCAACACTTCATTCTTTCTTATGTAGACTGTTGTCTTCTTAAATTTTACAAGTTGACCACTTTAGCAGCATGTGGATTTAGATCAGTATCACTTTTAAAAAAAACATCATAAAACTTTGTAGAGAGATTATTCAGTTCATATTCAAGCACCGATTGTCACTTTTTGTAACAAATTAGATGAAATATTTGAGAAAAGCTGGAATAACCACCGTCTAGATGAATTCACTGTTCTCTAGTTTGCAATTTGTAATTCTCATACTGCATAGTGCCACTAGTGGGGGTTCCCTTGAAGCTAATCTTTGTGTGTCGTTTTCAATCGACTAACCATTGTGACTAAAATATAGCAAATTTAGCTCATTTTTGCCATTGATTTTGTAAAAATAACCATACTCACTCAACACTCAACCCCTTACTTCATCGCTAACAAGAGAACAACTAAAATATGTTAAAACTAAACTTTGTTTCATCCGTATTATGGCGGTTGAATGATAGACAGAAAAGAAAGTCATTAAAATGATTTATCATTGAATTTTCTCAGGGAATTACGTACAAACCTTTCGCTGAAGAAATTCAAAAGAATAATCCAAGTAATTGTGTGGTTGATGTGACACAGACAATGTGTTCCAACGGAATATCATTCTCACATATTCCTACAGTTCAGTACTGCATTAGCAACAGAATACTACGTGTATTTTAACATTCTATTTCACGTCGTTTAATGTACACCAAGATCAGAGGCTCAGTGATTGGTTAACGAATATATATATATATATATATATATATATATATATATATATATATATATAGCATTGACTACCATAAGTTTGGAAACTGCCACCTTATGTCTTCTTAAATCCTTTCATTAACTTCTTAAATCGTCCTTTGATATACGTTCACATTAGTGTTTTTAAATGTTCTTATCGTCATATAAACTTTCACTTACCAGGATCCTCGATTAAGTCAGTTAACCAACAGGCTGTCTGTCACTTCTAAGTTTAAATAATTCTTTTGATGATGTTACTTTTAGAAATTCTGCCTTGGATTCAAATAGTAAACTAAACAACACTTTTATGCTTACCAGTTACCTATATTTACATGAGTTCCCAAAATTTTTAATGTGCTGAGACCTTTAGAGCCGACCAAGGAGGATAAAAAAGCAGTTGATTGAAATCCCTCACATAATATTGCGAATTAGTATTCGTTTAAAAATACAGATCACTGAATTATAGCATAGCAGCTAACGTCTAAAAAATATTGGTTTTATCCATCATGAGTTAGCCGGCTCTCAATATTGAGACATTTTAAAGCAGAAGAGAAACTGTGCTTAATGTTTCTTTATTTAAATGCAAATTTTAACAGATTTTACTTCATAGTACAAACAGTTTAATTATTGACTTACTATTAACTTAGTATCTGCAGGAACAGTCATTGGTATAAACATATTCGGATCACTATTATCAATCAGTTCATCTCTTACAGATGTGAATTCATTAATTTGTATCGTTGGACAAACACCAAACTGGCGAGGCAATTCTAATTTTGTAGGATAAATACTTAAATATTGATTTGTATCTGATGGTTGAAAATAACACAAAGTTCTACCGATTGCACGTGTGTGTACAATAACTGCACCATGGGTTATAAACGGTTTCTCTGGAAGTCCAAAACATTCTTGGGTATCAACTAAATAGAAAAGAGGATAAGATGAGAAGCAAAAAATTAACATTAGATGAAGTCTTTCAGTGATATTCATCGACAGTCACTAGCACAACTTAAGCATATTTTGAGGACAATGGCATCAGTATAAAGACTAACATATAACATTGTGTCCACTAAGTGTAAAAAGACCACTTATTACTCATGTAATGTATTTTATTGTTTTTATCTAGAAGGAAAAAGGATAAAAACTACTTAAATTATATACTGTCAGGAATGAGCTTAAATCAGTGACAGCTCTTTAAAACGTGGAAGAAACACTAGACTTCCCAGTATAAAATATCTGTCCTTATGGTACATTTGTAAACACTGAATAACCCAAATATACCTGCTAACTGCGTGCAAGAAAGACATTTGAATAGCATCCCGTTGATATTTGATATCACCCATAAGGCTTTTGAAGTTTCATCCACACTTGAGCCATATTATCTTCAGAAAGACAATAGTGAACAATAAATATGTCTTGAGTATTTCATATCCTTTTAGAACATGACTACTTAAAGTTGATTACTTAGTGTACCTGAAAGAAGCAAGGGCTGTGTAGCTTCCATTTTATCCCCGGAAAAGTTTCTCACCAATGAATTGCTATTATATATAAGAGAGCTGTTAGACTATGATTTACGAACTACCAACTGACCTACAAAATATTCTCAACTGATTTTATATAAAAATACGCGTAATAGAACCATATTTTACATGAAAACGTACAGGGAACTATGAAAATATTTTAAAACACCCCTTTGTTGAACGCTCGTTAAGGTTCATCAAAATTCTAGCATAGAATTCTAGTGTGTCGAATAAAGAAAACGATGCAAAATGGAACATATATATAAAGGAGAACTCTTCTTAAATAATGCAGTTAGTGTCATGAAAAAAACCAGTTTCTGCTAAAATGTAGTTTTCTTGATTAACGCTAAATATATACTGCAACCTATGGGCTTAACGATTTTTTACGCATTTTCCATCGGATACTTTTTATATTTCCTCGAGAAAGTGAGGTTTTGTGATTTTCCCTTTAAATTTAAATTATCAATCAATACACGTTTTTGTTGTGCATGTGTGCGCTTTTCAAGTTGTAAACAGAATCAGTGTGAACTTCAGAGAAAAATATTATAGTGACTACAATGGAAGATCATTTTCACACATTTAGTTAATAAGAGACATTTACTTTAATGCCGGAAAATAGCTGACACTAAACAAGGATTAAAACAGTGGTGAGGCAGAAAAGGCGAAACAGTAACAAAATTTGCAAAACAAATATCCTACTGATTTGTTGGAGTCAATGTTTTCAAAATTACACAGAGATGCAGATAATTTTTCAGGTGTATAATTTCATCCCCCAAATAACCAACTATTTATTATGCATTTAGAAAGAAACCAATATCAACTCCTTACAAATGTATTTAAGTAGAATAAAAATAGCTCTAGGAGCCCATAAACCAGTCTTTACTTTCTCAGTTTGTAAATTCTTGTATTCTACCCATCCTCCTTTACTGCTCCCCATTAGTCTTTCCTGGACTACTTAAGAAAGACTTTGCTTCGCTGAGAAGGGCACTAAAAGCTGTTAGTAGGGCAAGTGGGATATCGTTAAACCAACTGGTGAACACTATTGTAGATAGACATATTATGTCATGTAAGAAACTAGCGAATACAATATTGTCGGACCCCAAGCATCCTCTCTATACGCATCTATCTCCTTGCATTTCATCTGGAAGAACTAGAAGCAGCTACAGGAGGCTATATGCTAGGACTACCAAATACAAAAAGTCCACAATACCATATCTGGCACAGCTGTTATGTGATGAGAAATCCGTTAGGTATGACACGATAAACTTACTGCAGCACTCTAACAAATAGTCTCATTAGGTTTTCTTTTTCTTTTCCTCTCCTCGTTACTACTACACTGTTGTTCTCATCTACTACCACACATCAACTTTATATTACAAATCCTGTGTTGCATTGTTTGAAATGAAATACTCTACGTTGTTTTTTTTTCTTAATTTTTAATATTTATTTATTTTATTTATTTATAACTAATTTATTTTATTTTTATTTATTTATCTTTGATTTTTAAAAATCTTATATAATTTATGAGGTAATTAGATGCAATATACTGTAATGCACGCTGAAAATTCCATACCTGTACCACAAATACTGTTTGGAATAAAGCTGTTATTATTATTATATTATTATATGCAGTAAATTTGCAATTAACTCTGCAATACACATATTTTATTCAAGTTTTTAATAAACATGAATGCTTTAAGGCTTAAACGGTTTTAATCAGGTAGGCAGTATATCCAGTGCTATGGAAAAACTTACTTTTTAATGTTCTTGTTTCACCTGAGTTAACCCATAACAGCGACGCATAAATATAGAGGAAAACCAGATTGTTTGTTTTGCATAATTCAGTAAACATAGTCTTTCTGATGGTAACTGACGGGATCTCCCTTATTGGAAGAATTCTATAGCCTGAAAATTGTAGAGCAAATCAAACAGTGATGAAAAATGTTACAAAATGTTACTGCTTATAAAATAAAGATATGCAACCACAGAGTAATAATTCAATGAAGGCAGCTTTCATGCACATACAAAAGCTACGTTTTCTGGGATGATTAATCGCCTCAATGTGGAGACTAACAACAACATCCATTTAGCATATTAAGATTTTATTGTTCCTCATTGTTTGACGGTATAACTAATGGACTATGATAGGTTTTAAGTTTCGGTTCAACAACAGTTGCGCATTTAGAAAATCAGTGAATTACCTATTGGCTATTTCTTTAAAATCTAAAAATTATGCTTGATTGAAATCAACATTTGCAATTAATAGTGTTCTCTGAGCTGGTTGGTTTAGTTGCAGAGCTTTCGTCGTCTTTCTGGACAACATCTTCAGCGCAGTATTTAGGATAAAGTTATGTCCGTAAATTCATTTTATTGGGTTTTTGTAACACTACTTTATGGCATTGTTGTAAATGTTAATGCAAAGTAAGGGGAACGCTGTTTTGATCAACCTCTAACAGAACAGACAGTAAATAACTTGATTTCGGAGATTTCTAGACAATATCCGTCTGAACCATTGTAATGCTATTTAAAAAAGGATGATAGGTGTAGTTTATTTTGTGAGAATATGCGGCAGCATAAAATACCTTTTTAAACAATACCTAGCAATTTTTATGGTGTTTACAGATGCCTTTCAGAAAATAAGCAACGCCACATTTATGCTAGAAACCTTCTAAGCAAAAATGTCAAAGAAATACCCAATGTCATATTATGACTTCTTTATGTTTGAGATACCCTATCAAGTCTAGTCAGGTCTTCAGAGCTTTGAAAGACCCAGTTACGAAACGCATAAGATAACCCAAGTTTCGTGCTAACTCCGATTGTATAGGATACCTATTGGTTTCAAGCATATATATATATATATATATATATATATATATATATATACTTGCCTACCAGTGGATTTAGCCGACAGTTGAAAGTTGTATGTGGGTATAAAACTGGTACAGTTTTAATCAGTAGAAAAGGTCAAGTGAAAACGCCAGGCGAAGGGAGTTGAGATCGATGAGTCCTACAAAAGTAATGATCATTACTTCTGTAGGACTGGATTGAAATCGACTTCAATCCAAAACACAAAAGCAGTTCTCGTATCATTTAAAGATATGTCCATACTAAAACATATTGAAAATATTTAAGTTTAATCTTCTACGGAGTGAAAAAGTCATATAAAGTTACAACGACAGGGAACTTCAAAACATCACCTTGCTGAAAGTTCAAAACGACCTCTATTTATCTGCTAGAACTGTACTAGTACATTTAAAAACACCAAGGTCGTTGGGAGTGCCGCCCCAAGTATTTTACTGCAGTATAGTGAGAAGAGTTCTTTTGAAATTAATCAGTTCCACTTTTATTCTCAGGGCTGTCAGTATCCATCACCGTGGGTTAATCAATGAAATTTGAAGTTCTTCAATTCGTAATATCGTAGATGAAATTAGTATGCCTCAGTAACAAAAATGTCTTCGTTCAGTTGATGTCTCCATTCTGTTGTCTGCTGTCGATCACTTACATCACACTGGAGATATTTCAGTTATTAGTCGGCCAGTCTTAAGTGTTCTCCATTTGTATATCGTATTCTTTCCTATATATATATATATATATATATATATATATATATATATATATATATATATATATATATATATTAGAGGCTTGGGGTGTTGACGTCCACGGATGGTACGAAGTATATTAACGCAGGACCTAATACCCACAACTTCTATAGTGTTCGTTCTGCGTAGACCGAAACAAAACACTGGAACTGATCGGCCACATTATGAATTATATTTCGGGACCAAATTCGGAGTGCGGGGTGACTGCTTAAATAGCTACGGATCGTGCTCGAAAGAACATAACACGACAGCGTGCCGAATGGAGTGGATGCTTGACCGGAAGCCTTCAGCTGAACAAATCGAATAAAATGGAGAAGATTAGCACTTGATGTTCAATGATGAATGCTGTGGCCAATAATTCTGTGGAATTACCGACAGCTACAATATCTAGTGGTCTTTTCTTTGATCACATCTGCTTTTACGCCTTTTACTTCTCAGTCAATATGGTGAAACATACTTGGCTGGTGTGTTTGGTAGACATTGTAATACCACTGGAGGCCTCGAACTTCCGGATTTGCGAACAACTTTAATTTCTATGTGTAACGGTGTGTTTTGCCAAACCAACCTGTCAATGAAGTTGAAGATTGAACGATCACTTCATGGTTGTTTGCTCAAACACAACTCTATAGTTTTCGCGGGTGTCGTCAATCCATCAGTAATCGTCTCATTGTTCGCTGTTCGTTGGAAGAGAGAAAACTGTCAGAAGTATTATTGTAATTTATTGTTATAACATTTATTCTTAAACTTTGTGTACAATAACTCAATGGTTGGTTCTATATTGGTGCAAGAATAAACGGTTCTTGAGTCACCAATTCGCGTTCTGGTTTTTCGTGTTAGTTATTACGCATAGTTTATTCACACCTATGAAAATGGCAGATGTTTCTGTGTACGTTTCTACCTCAAACTTACCATGCTTCATATGTGGCTCTGTGAAATCAGGCACAGATTCAGGTTTTTTATCGGTGTCTGCACGGGATTGATATTCTTATTATTCACTTGTTTGAACTTACGTCAACCACAATACTGTTACTGAATTTTACTTCATTAATTTTTATTTAGTCGGATGTTATTCATTTCGTGTAACTCATCATGAACGCATTGAAGCTTCAGTGTTGAGCTTGTGTTTGTGCACATCCTACCTTGCGTAAACGACTGCAGCCACTGATTGTCCCAAATATTTCTTGTTCAACTTTTCTGATGTAGTTCGCACAAAGCTGTGCAGGACAAAAGGCTTTTGAAGCTATTGGTTGCACTGGCCTCAGTATGCTTTATTGATGGGTTCCACTGATATTTTATTCTCGTGTTTACATGAACACATCATTCAATTGGTGTAAGTATTTGATTTTCCCCATACTTATATTAAAGATATACCGGTAACCTGGTCACTCAGTAAGGAATAGCTGGGCTCAAAAGCCAGCCAACAAAATATTGTCAAGGAATATGTTCATAGTGAATCTGTAAGCACATTCAACTAGAATAATAATCACTTTCGCTGAGTCACGCTCCAATAATCGTAATACCCTCATTATCGGGTCGTTTCAGAGCTTATTCTAGCTCTGCCAGCCACGTCTCGCAAACCGTTAATGCCCAGCTCTTGCTACGATCGGGCTCACGCTGTTCCTTGAAGTTTCTCAGAAACGCTTAGTAATAACGGACGCGAAAACCAAAACACCGATTGGCCACTCGAGAATTCTTTATTGTTACACCAACATATAAAAAATGTTTCCACTAAGGTCTGTGAACAAATATTACAATAATAAATCATAAGATTACTTCTGATGGTTTGCTACTGACTTCTTTCTGAACAGCGACCGATGAGACGGTGACTGTCGTATTGATGCCTCCGCGAAAATTGGGGAAGTTGATTTTGAGCAAACAACCATGAATTGATCGTTCAATCTTCAACTACATTGACACTCCCCACGAAAAAAGGGATACATCCCTGTTTTCCATCACGACCAAAACACGTTGACTTGGATGCCATTGCGAGAACCTGGGTCACACGGACAGAGCTGAAATGGAAAACAAACAGAAAAGCCAACACACCACAAGCATACCCACAGCACAATTTCACACATCGCTGACGACCTGCGCCTCCAGACAGAGACCTCCTCTTGACATCTTGCAACACAATCTCCACTTGCTAGAATGACTCTTGCAGAATGCAACGTGACCATAGCAGCACCTCACGATACTCTACGCACATCCTCTTACCTACTCCCTACCAATTACCACTGCAATCGCTTGTCACTCATTCTGCCTCAGTTCTAGTAATGGTGACGTATGCAAGCCTCAGTCTTCTGCACTCCCGCTCCCCGGAGTGGGGCATCACAGCTAACAATTATCTCCGTATGCATTTCATTCTCAGCATCAGTCTCCCCGGCGTATACGACCCATCTGCTGTCTTTAACATCAATCGCTTCATTCTCGGATGTAGAAGACTAGAAACAACTTCAGAAGTAATCACGACGAAAATTTTAACAAAATTATGCAATAAAAACAAGGTACGAAAACAACGAGTAAACACAATGAATCCAAAAAACACCAATTGATATGACACACCACACATATATACAAACAGTACACACAAACTCGCAGATCGTGTCTCGATGGAATTCCTTTGAAGAATCGCAGGACTTACACCAGTACGCCTACAACCCTTCACAGGTTGACGATTGTAATTTGTGGAATGTCCGGACACAAACAAGATTAACCAACAATTACAATAATTGGAACTCACACAATTATTTAACACAAACATATGTACAATCAATACATCAAATGTTGTGGATTCTGGCATGACAAACTACCCTTGAAGAACTGTAGGACTTACAGCAGTACGCCTACATTCCTTCTCAGGTTGATGATCCAAGTGGAAGTCGTCCGGACACAAACAGAATTACCAACAGCTAGATGACAGATGATATCAATTCAGTATATACAATATGAACATATGTACAAAATCACACACCAAGCACATTGGACTGCTCATTGATGCGCTACCCTTTGAAGAATTGTAGGACTTACAGCAGTACGCCTACAACCCTTCTCAGGTTGACGCTCTAGGTTGGAAAATCATCTAGTGTTTCATCCTCCGACTCTCTACTCTCAGCACCTTCCAGTAGACACAGTTTTCTAATATCTCGCACCAACATGCCACAACTTGTTCTCACCTCAACCGTCCTCACCAATCCATCACCACTACAGATTAGCCTTACTACCACTCCCAAAGGCCACCTACCTGTGGCAC